TGGAAAGGCCTGTCTAAAAAAACATGTTTTAGCAATCATTTAAAAGGTCCCAGTGAAGGAGCAACTTGAATTTGGGGCAGGAAATTATGCCAAAGCTTGCGGGAGGGGGGCGAGGTGATCACCAAGAAGGCCTGGTTTTTGGTCTTCTCATTCCGGGCCTCTCTCGGGGTCAATATTCTCAATCCCCCTGCTTGGGAAGAGTGTACAGGATCCACTACTATTTGCCTGTGTAGTTGCATTCAAAGTTCGAAATACAAGCAATCCCGAAATAAATTACCACATTTTTGTTTTTCCTTTTGGATCATCTCCTTAAGAAATTATTCCCCCCACCCACCCACTACCCCCTAAAGGATTCTTAGACAAATCTTCAAAGCTCCTCTGGGAATCTGTGATCCAAATAAAAACTTAAAACCAAAATTCCATCTCTAGGGGAAAATGAAGAGGTTTTTGCTTTCCTCTCATGGCTTCAGAGCAGTCTCATAAAAAGAGCTATTCGCTTTGTCAGAGCTGTATCAATAAATGGTTCGTTATTACCCAGATTCTCCACTCCCTTGCTGCAGAATATAAATGTGTCGTTATTCATGTGCCTTTCACAATCTACTTCTCAGCCACAAGTCATGGGCGCTGTTAAAGCCTAGTGAGTATGAATCACTTCACAGCTATAATTGATGTGTTTATGTTATTTATCTGCTCAGCTGTCTTCTGTGATTAATAGCATGCAGGCGGGTGCAGAGGGCTCCAAATGTTGTATTATTATATGGCTGTCATCTTTCATACAGATGGATCTTCCTGACGATGAGCCCGATCGATTAAGCAACAGAATGTTGCAGTATGACCCAGGCTGTGACAAATGGACGGAGTGCACCCCAATGAAGTACTCGAAATACCGCTTCAGCACAGCGGCAGTCAACAATGAGATTTATGTCCTGGGTAAGAGCAAACAGATTTTTAACAGATAGGGTGGCCACTTTTTATTTTTCCCGGCAATTTGCTTCTACAAAATGAAATGTTTCACCCTCTTTGCCTCTACTGTAGGTTAAAGAAAAGACATAAGGACAAAAGAAAAGTATCCATTCGTTAGTAATACAAAGTCTTCTTTTTAAAGTTCCCAATTTATCAGTGAGCTAAGAACAACCATATCTTTTTTTCTAATAAAGAAATATATATATAGAAGAAGAAATATATCTAGATCAGCTCTCTCCATGCTTTTTTTATTAGAATTTTGTTCTGATTTGGTTTAGGCTATAGTCCTAAAATCTCCAGGATTCATGGTGGTGTTCTGTGTTCCACCAGACATACCGGATGTATTTTCTGATGTTTATGAGAACAGTCTTGCTTCAGAGGAGATCCAACTATAACTGTCCTGTCTGTGCCCTGTGGAATATCTCCAATGTCCAGGGAGATGATAAGGGGGCAGTATGGCGGCATAGCATGCCCAGACTGAGGGATTCTTTGGATGTCCATGTCCTGTACCGCACCGGCTTCCTGACCATGTCCACAATGTGGAAGACAATGGCTGAAATCCAGTAGTAAGCTGCAACAAGAGTAGGCCTACTGAATCAGTGGAATTTATGGAAGGATTGACTTACTAATCCCCTCTGATTCAGTAGCCCTCTTTTAGTTGTGACGTAACTACTTGATTTAGACAATATATGCCAGCCCTCAGACTGTAATGAGAGAGAAATTGTGTAATTTTTAACAAAAAAATCAATAAGATGGAAGGAAGGAAAATACTGCTTCTCTTACAATTCTGCCCTTATGGTAGGAAGTGCTACCCCTAAATCTGCAGGGCAATTCAGCCTTGCAACATTCCAACAATAAAACAGAAATTGACCTTTGAGAGCTATCTAGTTTTTCTCTGCAGCCCTAGGATATATGTCTTCCCTGATGTATGCGTTTTATTATTATGTTGTTGCGGGCAACATCAACGTGACTGATCTAGAATCTACAGCACAGTTGTCCTGTTCTGTTTTACATGATGTGTTATCTTAGAATTGTTATCTGAACTTTGAACAGGTAAAAGATTGCATGCAGAGTTGGCCTGCCCATCTATTGTTAATTTTGAAGGCCATGCACTTTCTTGTTGTTGCTGTTGCTGTTGTTGTTGTTGTTAAATGGACAGCAGAAATGTGACTAATTCAGTTTCTGTAAGAAGGATGTTGCCACTTGTCAAGTGAAGGGAGTTGAATAGTGGTGGACAGCAAAAATGTGACTAATCCAGTTTCTGCAAGACGGATGTTGCCACCTGTCAAGTGAAGGGAGTTGAATAGTGGTGGTAGTGAGGTCTACGTTTGCTGAAAGCTGATGTGAATCAAACATTAGGAACAGTTCCCCAACAATGCAAAATCTCTGGTAGTAGAACAGTCTGCTTAGATTAGCAGACTCAGATTAGTGAATACTAATTGGTAGATTCTAATTGTTCAAAGCTTTTAAGCAAAACCTGGTTGGGTTTGGAGGGAAAAGAAAATAAATATCAAAGACAGCTGAGATATCGAGGAGGACCAGCAGACATTTTGCCCCTGTCGGACTCCCTCAATAGGTCATCAAACAGGGCGACCAATGCTGTTTCCTTGCCGTGGAGCCACCTGAAGCCCAACTGGAACAGATCCAGGGCATTAGTTTCATCCAGAAGAGCCTGCAACTGGTCGGCCACCACCCTCTCAACTTCCTTGCTAAGGAAAGAAACATTGGCAACGGGCCTCTAATTACCAATATCGTCTATCGCCAAGCTCGGTTTCTTCCTAATGGGCCTAATGAATGTCTTCTTGAGAGACCTATTAAATATTGCTGTAGCCCATTCAGATGTTATAGGCTTGGCTGCTTTGATTAGCCAGGCTGGGCAAGGGTCAAGGGAGAAGGAGGTGGTGTGACAGTGATCAAGCACTCTGTCCACCATGTCTGACGTTACAGGCTGAAAGTGGTTAAGTCTCATCGGGCAAGTTGGACATCTCTGCTCAATCCACTGTTTGTAAATAGGAGGTAAGATCTGGGTGGATGGCCTCTACTTTTGATTTTTAAAAGGCTACAAATTGGTCAGTTGAGATGCTAGTGGGAGGCCAGTCACTATGACCAATTCTGGATAGATCATAGACTATATGCTGACTGGAAGCTTTGCTTATTCGGACATCGAAGTAAGATCGATTAGCAGACTTAACCTTAGATTGGTAAAGGTTAGTCATGATCCTGACAACTCTTTGATTGTTTTCCATTGGGTTCCGCCTCCATATGCACTCTAGCCTTCTCCTATTTCGCTTCATTGATCATAGCTCCTGGTTAAACCAGGGTGAAGGGCAATTTCTGCACCGGAGAGGGCATTTAGATGCAATAATGTCAACAGCCCTTTGACTTCCGCAGTCAAAGTACTGCTACACAGAACTTCGCAACCCGACAGGTGATCTGCGCATCAACACCCGAGAGAAGCAACTCAAGCCTATTTCCCTCCGAATGTCCTGGCAATCTATCTATTAAGGGGGTTACAGTCTCTTTTTGCACTGCTTCATACAATGGGCAGGTGAAGAACATATGCTGTATGGTCTCAATCTCCCTCAGGTGGCAGGAGCATAACCTTTCAGCAAAAGGGGTATTTTTATACTTCCCTTCTAATACAGCAGAGGGGAGGGCCAAACACCTTGCCAAAGTAAAGGCTAGTTCCTTTAATTTCCAAAGATGTTCAGTATTTGGCCGGTTCCATACAGTTTTTGATGTAAGTCCTTGATGTCATGTTTTGAATGCTAGAGAGGTCTGTTTGATATTCATTGTCCTCTGTTCTTTGTCTAACTATTTGTTTTGCCTGCTCTATTCCAGAAGATATAAGTGCCTGAGGTGAGAGGCCAATTTTCCCCAAGTAGCCCTGGACCGATTTAACCCACTTAGATTGATAGTTATCATTAAATATCGAGGAAAATAGGCCTTTTGGGTTTAACTGTCCCTTTACCACATATATATAGACTGAATCCTCATCCAGGCTTCTACTTTAAGGCATCCTGTTTCTAGCCTTATCCTTGCATTCGA